TCGTAGCATCAAGCCCAATGTCAAACGTCGAAGAAAGTTTTTTTTCTCTATGATATAACTGAACTTGAGATCTGAGATCATTTTCTAATTGGTTTATTATGAATTTCAGCTAATTGCAGGAAAAAATATTTGCACTGATATTCCAAGCTGCACATCGTAAGTACTGCATTAAGATTAATTACAGTATGCCTTGCTGGTCTAAAATGCTATTCTCTTTTGTATGCTAACAATATTAGCTGTGCTTGTGTTACTCAGTCATGCACCAAACTTGATGCTGGAAGGAGTGTCAGTCAAAGTGGTAGATCCTCAGTCTCGAGAGTGTTGTTTGAAAGGATATACGTTTTTGCTGGAACCAGAAGCTAAGGTGATCGTGTCCTTCATTCTTCCAGTATTCCAGTTTCTGTCTTGTGGGTTCAGTTCAGAGTCGTCTATAGTTTTTGTAGATATTTGTTGTGCTGTAGTTATGCATCATAAGCTTTACTAGTTACTCCATTAGTTCAGTTGGAGGTCAGAAGTAATGCTGCAAGTTTTGATTTTCTTTGTCATCTGAAAATTTTATAACCTTTGCCTTTATTCAGCTTCTCTGCCACTTTGCTATTACATCAAGCAAGTCATGCAAGATGAACTTGATTGAGAATTACTTAGATATTTGTGCTTGACTAAGATCATTTATTCCCTTTTCCTTGCAGTATAAATTTGAGGGCAGGTTGCAGTCCTTGTTGGAAATTGGGGGTGCCAATGTTTCTTCTGCAAACATGGTCTGTCCTAATGTCCTATGTTATTGTTACCTGCTCCTCCTTCCCCTGATTCCTTGGTCTTCCTATCTGCATCTTCTAGATAACTCACCCCTTAAGATTAAAATAATTTGGTAACTCTGAGCATGTTTGAGAAAAGGTAGATGTCACAGCCTCGTGAATGGTGTCTTTCTTAATGGATAGGGGGGTCAAGTTCATAAATCGGAAATGCTTGTCGGAAGGGGGGAGAACGGCGAACATTTTGAAGATACAAAAGGCCTGAACAAGCATTTTAAAAACCGTCACTCACTTAAGAGCATCCTTGTTGTCCTTTTCCCTTTTTGTTATAGGACTCGTGGCACTCTTTGTACTTGTACTAGAAAATATACTTACTTTGAGTTCAGTGTATAAAGGTGTCTTCATCAATAAGCAAAGTGGTGGTAAATTTTTTTTGCTTGATTGGACTGGAGATCCTTTGTAGATAAATGAAAAAGGTAATAGCAATTCACAAAGGTGCATAAAGAGTAACAGCTCATTAACAGAAACCCTGGCCACAAGGTTTTGGATAGTTAACTGCGGCCGCCTCACTTCCCGTGTGGGCAGTTCCCGTGCTTTTTGCTTCATTAAGTCAAACCTAATGACTTAAACAAACATAGACTGAAATTTGTTTCAGTAATTAATTTTTGGAGAGGGAGAAACTCTCTTAACATGGAAGTGAAGGCATAAAAGAGAAGAGTTATTGCTCTTTCTCAAAAAAAAAAAGAAAAGAAAAAAAGAAGAAGACAGAAGAGGTTTTCCTAGAAGGAGAAGATGGTCTATAGTGGGAGGACTAGACACAGACGGATAAGATTTTTGATTCATACAACTCCAAATATACTGCATGAGTCATGGTTGAGTTGAATCATAAGAGTAACAATGTCGATCTTTACATTTCCATTTTCTTGAGTGATTCCAACTTTCAACTCCTCTTCCTTTTCCTTTCCTGTGGGGTGGGGTTTCCATGGGTGCTCGTCGTTTCGGCATTCAAGGTGCAAAATATTGAGACTATGCTAATGGTTTTGCATGCAAGGTACATACTATTGACCCACAGATGATTGTACGTATTAATGTGTGAACTTACTAGCACATTTCATTAACTTTTAGGTCTTGGAGAAAAATGGAGATGACCGTGTGGTGTGTGTAGTTCCTGCAAGATCAAGCAGCTCTAAGTGTTTTACTAACCATAGTTCTTTGCCTTGGGTGAGTGAGATAGATCTGGTTTCTGCAGTTCTATCTGGATATCTGGATCCTTCTCTAATCATAACTCCACCAGGTGAGTATAGTTATGTTTACGATTTAGTCTTTTCTTTGCATCCACCATGTCAATCAGCTTTCTATTTACGGAATTATCTATTCTCTCCATTCTTGTCTCTCTTTTTGATCATTCATGTTCTCGTCCCTCCTTCCCAACCCTTTCCCCCCCTAATTTTTGGTTTGAAACTTTGACCAGCAGATTCAGACAGCAAAGCATGATCTTATTGAATTTACAAATTACATGCTCAGGTGTTGATCACTAACTTGACAGAGGATCGTCATTTTGAAGCTTGTTAAACATATTATGAACCATTGACTAGTTTGGCCTGTGGTATAACCTCATGATTATTTGAGGTGGTCAAGGATCATGCCCTTTTATCACTGTGCCTACTGTTGTGCAAAAGCAAATAAAAATTGCTGGTTAGACTAGCCAAGAGGTTTAAGTGTGGCTTTAAACTGGTTGATAAGGTCGACTAATCGTGCAATGAAACTTTTCATAAAATCTTGCGCCACCTTGTTTCAAACTGCTTGAGCAAATTTTTGACTAGGGGGAGATTCATTATTACTGCAGCGGACCAATCCCCTTAAGCTAGCTAGAAACTCGCCACTAATAAGCATTGTAATTGATCATTGATCTTGCAGCTGGTGATGACTTTAGGCCTGGACATAATAAACAGAAAACAACAGTTTTCCCTGTCACAATAAGTTTTTTATAGATTTATTATTCGCAAAATCCCTGCTTTATATCACTTGCTCAAAATGGATTCAAGAAGTTTCTTACAAAAAGAAAATTGCCTGTAGAACGGAACTGTGAGATGCCGTGAATAGCTTATTTTACTGTTCTGGCTTCAAGGAGTACCTGAGCAGAATCCATATTTATGAATATATGTTTTCTGCCAAATTTATCTCATGCTCTTAACTAAATAATTGTCCTCTGCAGTGCACATTACATCTTCATGCTCCACGGTTGAGACAGTAGTTGCAGATTCAGATGCAGAAACAGAAAGTATGAAATCAGATCACATTGCTGCTGCTGTCTGTTCAATAGAAGCTCCAGAGTATGACAGCAAGGCAACAACTTCTGCACACAAACTAGAATCTGTTGAAAATTATAATGAAGATAAGTGTTCTGTCCAAATAGTTATACCTGGGGATAAGGGATCCAAGAGGGACACATCTCCCAGTTCAACAAAACCTGTTAAACATGATGATGCTACCACTCATGACCCTGAAAGTGGTTACATCGGGCGCTTAGGAGTCAAATCTGATAATACAGTGGCAAAAAAAGATATAACTGATGAGCCGGAAAATGGGAAGTTGGACATCATATATAGCCAAGATTTAATTGTTAGAGATTCTATCATGTCGTTACCAGTCTCTTCAACAAATGGCGGAGTTACAAATTTTAAGCGCTTCCGTAAGGTTAGTATCTATTACACTGTCTTATGTGAAATATATTCTTATCGGAGTTCAGCTAGCAATTTCAGCTTGATCTTGTCATATTAACTTTCTAAATCAGTGATGAATTTAATATTGGCTACGATGAAGATCTTTGGCAATTCACTTTTGCAAGAGTTGCAGTGATATCCAAACGAATTTGTTCCATGTGTCCATTTTGCTTGTGTAATATGCAGCTGTGTCCAGTGGATTCCTAGGTTTGATTTGATTGTAAGTCCAGGAAGCATATCAGTTTGTAGACATAAGACGGCTTTCTGAGGGTCCTTATAAAAAAATTGCTTTCTGCAGTTCGCTGTATACTGTATTGCTTCTTTAAAGTACAATAAGTTGTCTATGAATTGCAATTCTATATTGATGCATCTTCACTTTAGGTTTGGTTCCTCTTCTTCTTTGGTCAGTGGATATGATTATGGTGCTATACTTTAGATGTCAATATTTGCTGTTCTCATGACTTAATTTTGTAGACAAGTGCTCCATCCCCGAATAGCTTTGAAATCTTCATTCCGTTCGCCAAGTATCCATATCAGTAAGCAGCTAAGTCTATCTCTGGTTTGTTTATAGTCTTCATTTCATATCATATTCCTTCAATGTTGATCCGTGATCTTGATGGCAGAGAATCTGAGTATAAGAATGAAGATGTTGCTGAATCGATTAAAGAAGAGAAAAAGAGAAAACAAATGGAAGCTATTGCCGAGGACCTGTTTAACAGTGAAAAGGTCTGTAATAATACTTGTATATTATAGCTAATATCGCAGCAACTTTATCTCTCAAGCCAGTGCTTCTATTATTGTATCATAGGGAAGACGACGTGGTGCAGCTGGTTCCCTGCATGGTTTGTTTGCTCGTAAATAATATGGTAAGTTTCTTTACAGAGCTGAAAAACTATAAATTCTTTTCCCTTGTCTGCAAAGCACGTGCAGCTTTGTGCTTTAGAAGGTTCCGTTCCTATGAATCAATTTGCTGACCTAGATCTCGTTGAAAGGTTTTATACATTTGTCCTTTTTCAATGCATTTCTTAGACAAAGACTGTTTTTTCCTCTTTTCGGCGGCTGAAAGAAGCAATTCTTCAGCTCTCTTATAAGCATTAAGCTTAGGGCTTCCATGACAATCACAAAAAAGATAAGGGGAGAGAGGGTTTCCTTGTCTTAGGCCTCTTTGAGACTTAAAGTAGCCTCCTGGGCTTCCATTAACAAGAACTGAAAGTCTGACATTAGAGATGCATGTGTTGATCCATTATATCCACCTATCCAAAGGAGACTCAATTCTTGGGGCTTGAAACCAGATCTCTGATTAAGGACGGAGGGATACTTACCAGTTACCATCCACCACAATCTTTGGGTAAGGCCTATCAGTTGGATGCCACTGAATACACCAAAGTCCAACAATAGCTAGTTTTCTCACAATTAATGTAGCATCCCATTCTTCCTCTATCCGAATATGTAATTCTGACTGCTTCATATAAGGTCATATACTTGATAAAACTTTGTCATGTGCATCAGGTAATGGACTAGACAATGCACCAGCAAAAAGGAGAAAGTGATGGAAATTTCAGTGTTGAAGTGCGGAGTCATTTACTGCAACAATAATGTGATTGGCAACTACCCTGTCATAATTAGTACAACAAACTTCATAGAATGTCATTTTACAAAAAACATTACATCAACTATGAATCAATCACAACATATGTCTAATTCAACAGGATTATTAGCAGCATTTTCTAACAAAGCCATTGAATCAGACGAGTACGTTATAGAACTTTCCATCTGATGAAACAATGGAGCAATTGGTTGAGATTGAAGAGGCTGAGGAGGTGGTGCTAGAGATTCAACTTCACCTTCAAGCATTTCCACTACTACACTCATTGAAGGGCGTTGTACCGGATTTGTTTGAATGCACCATAACGCAACAATAGTCATCTTTCTGCTTATCTTCTTTTCATCCTCATTGGCTTCTTCATCCACCATAATCTCCTTTCCTTTGTTAAACTTATCATAAACCCAACAGGGAAAATATTGGCTGGAATTTTCTTCATTTACAGCGACATTTCTCTTCAAGTCTAGCATTTCCATTAGTAGCATTCCAAAGCTGTAAACATCAGCTTTATAAGAGATTGCTCCAATGCTTCTGCTGATCAACTCTGGAGCTACATATCCAATCGTTCCACGAGCAGCTGTGAGAGTCACAATGCTATTATCTGTTGGATATAGTTTAGCAAGTCCAAAGTCAGAAATCTTTGGGATAAAATTCTCATCCAAAAGAATGTTGTGAGGCTTGATGTCAAAGTGCAAAATTCGTATCTCACAGCCTCGATGCAAATACTCAATTCCTCGAGCCACTCCAACAATAATTTCATACTTCCTCTGCCAACTTAACACAGGACTTCCTTCCTGACTGGTGATGTACTTATCAAGTGATCCATTGGGCATGAAATCGTATACAAGAGCGCGCTCTGTTGTCTCAACACAATACCCCACGAGTCCAACTACATTCACATGATGAATTCTTCCAATGGTAGCTACTTCATTCATGAAATCTTGACCTCCACCAGCTTTAGGCTTGCTCAACATTTTCACTGCTACATCCCTGCCACTGCGAAGCTTTCCTTTATATACTTTGCCATAACCTCCCTCGCCTATTTTCTCTTTGAACCCTCTGGTCATTCTCTTTATGTGGGAGTAATTATATCTGATTGGAATAAAATTGTTTTGTGTCTGCAGAAAGCCTTCAATCATGTCATACATGGACAAATGCCTCCTTTTGAATTTGATCATCAGAAATACAATTATGATTGGTAGGCCGATCACAAATCTTGCTACCAAATACACTGCAGGGTTGTCAAGTCATACAAAAGTAACGTCTACTTAAGCCAAGTATTGGGAGTTAGAAAATTCTGAATAATTATACTGACGCTACAATATAATCTTGACTATTGAACTGTTGAGATTTTTGTTATTTAAGATGAAATAGTCTTAAAATGAGGGTGAATGGGAAATGGAGGGAAAATAAAATTTTTGAGTAAAATTTTAAGTTTCCCTCTCTTGACAATAAGACATTGTCCCATATTGGAAGAGGAAAAGAGTTTTGGTGGGTATATATATAATTGCTCTTCTTGTAGCTCTTAAAGAGTTAAGAAGAAAGCAAGCCTCGCGCCGTCGTCGTCGCTCGGCTCGGCTTCGGCTTCGGAGCTTCAGCTTCGGATTTGGTCAAATGAGGATCAAATTTATTTGTTAATAGTAAATATTAACGTAAGATTATCCACATTTGTAACAGATATGTTCCAATCCGATCTGTGTATTGACAAACTGCAATAACAGCCGCCCCACCATGGCCAAGTGCTCTTTCCACCATGGCCAAGTAACTGTAAGTGTGATTTGCTACCGAACTTTGTGTTCGTTGAAACACTGGGGTTTGAAGTACCGCTACACGAGTGTGTGATTCGTTCTATCTTGGGAGGAAATAATCCATAACCTTGGGTACTAGGAGGGGATTAAATTCCTTCAGGAAACACTGTGAATTCAGTGGGCTCGAATACGATTTACTGTTTCATTACGATAATTTATATTTCGCAGAATTATTATTTACAAATACAGCAATATTGGCGGGACTAACATGAACTTCTTACAGTTTGCAGATAATAACAGCCATCTCTAAAGTGTTTTGAAATATGAAGGTTTTGAAGAAAATTATTTTCATGAAGATTGCAATTAAAAGCTTTACTAAATTTAACAAAATTCGACTGAAAGAGAGAACCAAGCTGTTCCGATGATGACTGCCAACGCATCGACAAGCCGAACACCGGCTTTGGCACCAGCAGAAAAACCCGAAAAATTTTTCGGGATTGATTTCAAGCGCTGGTAGCAGAAGATGTTCTTCTACTTAACTACGTTATGTCTACAGAAGTTCATCAAGGAAGATGTTCCTGATCTGCCAGATAAAACTCCAGAGAATGAACGCTTTGTCGTGATTGACGCGTGGAAGTATTCTGATTTTTTATGCAAGAATTATATTCTTAGCGGACTGGATGATAATCTGTATAATGTATACAGTAGCGTGGAGACGTCAAAAGAATTGTGGAATGCGCTTGAAAAGAAATATAAAACTGAAGATGCCGGGATGAAGAAATTCGTTGCCGCAAAATTTTTGGACTACAAAATGGTAGATAGCAAGTCTGTTATTACCCAAGTCCAGGAATTGCAAGTGATTATTCATGATCTACTTGCTGAAGGTCTTGTCATCAACGAAGCATTCCAAGTAGCAGCAATGATTGAGAAGTTGCCTCCGTTGTGGAAGGACTTCAAAAATTATTTGAAACACAAACGAAAGGAAATGTCCCTTGAAGATCTCATTGTTCGGTTGAGAATCGAAGAGGACAATAAAGCTGCTGAAAGGAGAGGCCGTGGAAATTCAACAATAATGGGAGCAAATATTGTTGAAGATAACAAAAAGAGGAAGAAGGCTTCTGGTCTGAAATACAACCCAAGCAAGAAGCGGTTCAGTGGGAACTGCTACAACTGTGGGAGAAACGGACACAAATCTACTTAGTGTCGTGCTCCGAAGAAAGACAAGAAAAGGGGTCAAGCAAACATGGTAGTAAACCATGATGATGTTGATAACTTGTGTGCCATGCTCTCTGAATGTAACTTGGTGGGAAATCCTAAACTGTGGTGGTTTGATTCAGGAGCCACTCGCCATGTTTGTGCAGTTAGAGAAGCTTTTGCTACTTATGCTCATGCTGGACCCGGAGAGACAGTTTATGTGGGAAATGCTTCAACAGCAAAAATTGAAGGATATGGGAAGATATTTCTGAAAATGACTTCTGGCAAGGTCATGACTTTGAACAATGTCCTTCATGTTCCCGAAATGAGAAAGAATTTAGTCTCTACTGGACTTCTTGTTAAGCACGGTTTTAAGTGC